TTCCATGGTGCTGTAATCCTAGCCCTTAGCTCATCCAGTTTGTTTTCCAGAGACTGTACGTTAGCTAGGAAGAGGCTGGGTAATGGCAGTCGTGTAGCGCGAGCTTTTAGCCTAGCATGGAGTCCTCCTCGCCTGCCCCGTTTGCATTTCTATCTCCGGGTCGCTCTCCTGATTTCAGCCTGCTCGCTTGTGCCTGGTGCTCCGGGGGCTCCCGGAGGGCAATGGTGGCTGTCCTCGCCATTGTTGTCATTGTCGCCGGAGCGGACCATGGGTTGTAGCTTCGGAGATATGAAACCAGTAAATTCCCAGTGGCTTTGTGAGTTGGCAATATCCAGCAATGCCTGTCTGTTGTATGTAAGCAGTGCATGACATTTGTGCACTGCAGAAAAAGCAAAAATGTCTCCACCACCATCATTAAAACACCAGCTGAAGGAATAGACTTCAGCAAGCATGTAAAATGTATTTATATAGGACCTTTCTAATCCTAAATTCCAAGGTGTTTTACAGTAAAACAGAAAAAACTGAATAATAATAAATAAATAAAACTAGATAAATCACACCTACACAATAAAAAAACAGCAAAAATGCACAATCAAAAACAAATGCATCAATTAGAGGTGTTGTTAAAGGCCTGTGAATAAAAATGAGTTTTAAGGAGTGATCTAAAAACTGTCAGTTTCAGAGCAGATCTAATATCCCGTGGCAGACCAGTCCATAGTATAGGAGCATGTACCAAAAAAGCTCGGTCTCCCCAATGTTTCAGTCTGGAGGTACATCCAGAAACAACTGATTGGAAGATCTAATTGTCCTCTCTGGAGCATAAAAATGTACAAGATCAGCAATATATCAAGCTTCTAGACCATTCACAGCCTTATAAACAAATATCAACATTTTAAAATTAATCCTAAAACGAACACGAAGCTGATGGAGTGAGGCAAGAACTGGGGTTATATGCTCATGACGCCATGTATTAGTCAGAAGAAGAAGTCTATAACTAATAAAGACATGAATTGCCTTTTCAAAATCACTAAAAGAAAGTGATTAACCTTAGCCAGTAGTCTCAACTGAAAAAAGCTGGCCTTGACCACAGATTTTATCTGTTCATCCAGCTTAAGAGCACTATCAAATACCCCAAGATTCTTCATGAGGCCTTAGATAAGAGGCCAAAGGGCCAGGAATATCAGAATTAACAAAACCAGAATTACCAATTAAAACACATTGTCTTACTTTCATGTGTAAGAATTTATGTGATAACCATGCTTTAATGCCCCTCAGGCAATCCAACAAGCTCTGTAATGAGTTGCTCCTCTTGACATTCAATGGAAAATAGATTTGAATATCATTTGCATAATAGTGAAAAGACAACCCACATTTTATGAAAATCGATCCAAGGGGAAGTAAACAAAGAAAAAAGAACTGGCCCAAGGATGGATCCTTGAGGAACACCACAGTTCAGAGGAACAAAAGAAGAAGAGAAATCATCAATTTGTACAGAAAAACTCCTATAAGACAAATATGATTCTAACCATTTAAGAGCAACACCATGGAGTCCTACAGACTGCTGCATGAACCCCTTCTGCCTGAAAGTGTGCACTGATCAGCTGGCCCCCATCTTCACACTTATCTTCAACAGGCCACTGGAGCTGTGTGAAGTCCACTCCTGCTTCAAACACTCCACCATCATCCCAGTCCCCAAGAAAACCTCCATCAGTGGACTGAACGACTACAGACCTGTTGCCCTGACACCTGTAGTTATAAAGTCCTTTGAAAGACTGGTGTTGGCCCACCTGAAGGACATCGTAGACCCCCTGCTGTTCACCTACTGGGCAAACCGTTCGGTGGACGATGCAGTCAACATGGCATTGCATTACATCCTGCAACACCTCGACTCCCCAGGGACTTATGCACGGCCCTCTTTTCAGCTCAGCATTCAACACCATCATCCCGGACATCCTCCACTCCAAACTGACCCAGCTCACTGTGCCTGCCCCCAGCTGTTAGTGGATAACTAGCTTTCTGACAGACAGGGAGCAGCAAGTGAGGCTGGGGAAAACCACATCCAGCACATGGTCAATAAGCACAGGTACCCCGCAGGGATGTGTGCTCTCCCCTCTGCTCTTTTCCCTCCACACCAATGACTGCATCTTGAAGGACACCTCTTTTAAGCTCCTAAAGTTTGCTGATGATACAACGGTCATTGGTCTCATCCGAGATGGTGATGAGTCAGCCTACAGACGGGAGGTTGAGAAGCTGGCCCTATGGTGTAGTCGCAACAACCTGGAGCTGAACATGCTCAAAGCAGTGGAGATGACAGTGGATTTATGTATCAGCAATAAAGTCCTACAAGTCCCTGGGCTTCGCTATCTCCCAGGACCTGAAGTGGTCATCCAACATCAGCGCCATCGTCAAAAAGGCACAGCAGAGGATGTACTTCTCTGTCTGGTTTGGCTCAGCAACCAAACAGGACAGGAACAGACTTCAGCGGACAGTCAGGACTGCAGAAAAGATCATTGGTGCCAGCCTGCCCTCCATGGAGGACCTGTACACCTCATGGGTCAAAAGGAGGGCGGAGAGGATCACTGCAGACCCCTCACACCCATGACACAATCTGTTTGAACTCCTCCCCTCTGGACGGTGTTACAGGTCACTGTGCGCCAAGACAAACAGGTACAAGGACAGTTTCTTCCCCCCGAGCCGTCACTCTGATTAACACTTAACTTTGTATATTTGCATTGTTTATTGCTTTGTTTATTCTGTTTAATTTGTTATACTATATAGCCTTATATTGGCATAGTCATATATTGCTTACTTGCCCTTTTGCTATTGCCTTACATAAGGATATGTACATGCACATTGAGAGCTGCTGTACCAGAGTCAAATCCTCATGTCCAACACACCTGGCCAATAAAGCTGATTCTGATTGTGATAACAGAACTTAATGAAATAGGCTCAAACTGGTCAAAAACAGCTGAGCATATAGGAGCAACAGAAGGATCCAGAGGAGAAGCACCAATCTGGGACATGATCATAACAATTTTATCTACAAAAAATTGGAAGAAACTCATTACAAGTAGCAGAGACTTGGAGAGTCAATGCCAAGGTGCACTGAAGCTGTTCTGGTGGCATGTGGTGGCCCAACACCTTACTGTTACACTTTATGTTGGATTTTCTTTCCATCTGTCACCCATCTGTGACCTGTTTTTTAATGCACAGCACACTGGCAAAAATATTACTCCTGCCAATTAAAAACTCCCAAAGTGAAAACTGCCTATGTGTTACCAGAAGAAATAACTGATAGAAAAAGAAAAGATGATTTGAAGGTACAAAACAGGAAGTCCTGCTTATATTGCTGTATTTGACTTTGTACAGCTTTACACACATGCCAAGGAGCAAGAGAACATCTCTTGAGACAGCAGAATGTTGTGAAGTGGCCACAGAAATAATTTTTCACAGACAGAAAACACATTCACCTGTTACTTAATTACATTACAGGGTGTGATTTTTTACACATTCATGTCTCTAGAAGTGTGAAAACATGGATGAACAGGCAGCTTTAGCAGACAAGAGGGAGGAAGAGGGGGCGGCTGCTACATCTGCTTCTTCCTCCATCCCTCTCTGCCTTTCTCTGTGTCCCCTGTCCAACAAATTTGAAAAGCATGCAAAACCCTGGCATCTGCACATTTGTATTTTTTCATAGCTCCAAGAGCTGCATTACTTTGCTATCTGTGCCATGAACTATAGACCATCTCTTCCACCCTGGCTTATGTAATTTATCTCATCATGACCTGTATATTGCAAATTATGCTTGCTTGTGGTAGACAGCAGTGAATGAAAGAAAACATTTGGATGTCATTTTTGTTTCTGTGCATACAGAAGACATATCCACTTTCTGTTTCTGTGTGTGTGTGTGTGTGTGTGTGTAAGGGGGGGGTGCACATGCACCAATGAAAAGAAACTAAATACAGTACAAAGAGAGAGAGTTCATGTTCACACTGACAGACTAAGACCAACCTCATGTTTATATTTGTCTTTCTCTTTCTGAATCTTTCATTCTTTCATTTTTGTTGTTCTCAGACACGGCATATGTTCGTGTTTTTATCAGTGATGTGAACGATAACAAGCCAGCATTTGCACAGGCATCCTATGAAGTTGATGTGGATGAGGATGCTGACGTAGGCTTCGCCATTCTCACCGTCAGTGCCAATGATGGGGATGAAGGTGGGTGGCATATGTATATGAGAATATGTGTGTGTTTCTTGGAACAGAGTGATATAGATACACAATGGAAAGTGTAGGAGTAATGGTGGGGCTGGTAAAATAAATCCATAATGGAGCACATTTACCAAGCACATTGTTATACAATTTTTCACACTACGCTGCAAAATGTCATGAAATCAGGATAAACACAGCAGTGTATGAATTCGATCAGCCACTGTACAATAAACTATTAAATATAACTTTTCAGTACAAGGTAAAGAAAGAAGCTCTAAAGCATTGGAATTTGTTCTTTCACCATCTTGGGCATCAAATATTGTTTTCCCATTAGTCAAACGTGTCTGTAAGATGCATCACTACTGGAGAAGCCTACTGCAGTTGATAGATGTCCCTGGAAACTTTTGACATAACTGATATTTTCCATTATTTTTCCAGCCTGTTGTCAGTATCAAACATTTCAAATTTACCAAATTTTTTTGGCCCAAATTTGAGGAAGTGGCACTTTCATTTTGAACAGATTTCCATTCACCTGAATTACACTATATGACACATGCTTCCAGGTCATGCTGCAGGTCATAGAAAACAACCATATCATGGGCTACAACCTCCAGGGAAACCCCTTTTATTGTAACGGTAAAGATACTGTTTGTAGCAACAAAGATTTAAATGTTGACATTATTATTTATTCATTTAGTCTCATACACCCTGTAATACTTACATATGCCTAACTGGTTGGCTTTTCCAGTTAGCCTGCCTTTAGTAAAGCACTAAATTCATGTTGTCACTAGGATCTGAGAGCTTCCCAGGATCCTGAAATACAGTGCCTATAAAACGTATTCACCCCCTTAGATGTTTTACCCTTTTATTGATTTTATAAATCAATCATGGTCAATATAATTTGGCTTTTTTGACAAAAAAAAACTCTTTAATGTGAAAGTGAAAACAGGTTCCTGCAAAGTAATTTCAATTAAATAAAAATATTTAATGGGAAAGTGAGTGTAATGGGAAATATTCACCCCCTTTAAAATGACTGACCTAATTTAACAGAGGTCCAGCCAATTGGTGCTAGCAGTCTCACAATTAGTAATTGTAGAATAAACACACCTGTGTCTGGAAGGTCTAGTCACTGGCTAATCAGTATTCCTGGCTACCATTACACTATGAAGACAAAAGAACACTCCAAGCAACTCAGAGAAAAGGTTCTTCACCATTCAAAGCTTTATGGGAGAGTCGCAAAGAGAAAGCCACTGTTGAAGAAACTCATATTAAATCTCAACTGGAGTTCACCTAAATGCATGTGGCAGACTCCAGGGTCAAGTGGAAGAACGTTTTTTGATCTGATGAGACCATAATGGTGCTTTTTGGCCATCAGACAAGACATGATGCGTATCAGACACCAAACACTGCCACAAAGGCATCATCCCCACTGTGAAGCATGGTGGTGGCAGCATCATGGTGTGGGGATGCTTCTCAGCAGCTGGCCCTGGAAGGCTTGTAAAGGTAGAGCGTAAAATGTATGTGGCAAAATATAGGAAATCGTGGAGGACAATCTTATTCAGTCTGCAAGAGAACTATGGTTTGGGAGAAGAATCATTTTCCAGCAAGACAATGACCCAAAGCATACAGCGAAAGCTACACAGAAATGGTTTAAAGACAACAAGGTGAGTGTTCTGGAGTGGCTGGGTCAAAGCCCAGACCTCAATCCAATAGAGAATTTGTGGCTAGACTTGAGAAGGGCTGTTCATGCCCAATCCCCACGCAACCTAGCAGAGCTTGAGCAGTTTTGCAAAGAAATGGTTCCTCACCCCTCTGGTTTCTCCTCTTGCCTGTCCTTGGTTGCCCCCTGCACTCCCTGCCTGCCTGGAGTCTGCTCATCTTCCTGCCATCCAGCATAACCTGTGTTTATTCAATAAACTGCTTTCTTTAGTTCCCTCTCCTCTAGTCTATTGGGGTCCACGCCATACACACGCCGCCTCCCTAACACACAGAGAGCCAGTCCATTGTGACAGTTTTTTTTCTCCTTATACTGTATGGGCACATGCCATGAAATGTTCATAGTTCTAAGATGAGAGAGAGAAGGAGGCTTTGTCATAATATAAACATTTATCGTGGAGTTCTATGCACCTCACACTCCACTGTGATAAATAACTCTCAGCAGCAACACACATAACACACTTATTTGAAGAAGACACTTATTTACTTGTTTAGTTGTATAAGTGTAAGACACCTGCTGGAGTCCAGAATAAGGTTATAACTACCAACTGAGAGAGATGGAGGAAATGTTAAACTGTCTGTGTGTGTATTAATTTTTTTGTGGGGCCTATTGAAGGTTAAATTAATGGAGGAGGACAAACAGGAAATTATTGGAGAAGTGATTTTATTCCATTGCCAGTATTAAGTCTAACTAATACAGTGAACATATGCAATATGACATGTGAATGAGTAAATTCCAACATTGGAATTAAAATATGAAATTGTCTTAGTAAATTGCCTCCTTAGAATATCATAGAGCTTTGTGATGTCATGTTAAAGGAATACTACACTGAAATATTTTCAGTGACACCTCATGTAGTCTCGAACGGGGCTCCGAAACGATACAGCTTGTGTCTTTTCACAGGACAACAGCTGTCAACTCACAGAACTGGATTTAAATGGTGAGCTAGAGTTTTGTCCAAAAATAGTGTCAAAATGTTTGTTCCTCTTGCATAATACTTCCAAAGCAATTATTCCCAAATATTTTTAACTACAGCATCTCTTTATATTGTGTTACAGTTGTTTCTTGATCTCACTTGATACCATGGCTGCATCTGGTCTGAGTTTAGTTCTTTCATACTGTATGAATGTGTACTGGTTATTTCTTACAATGTGTTAATTTTAAAACAAAAAATTTTGCTCACATAAATATTACTTTGTTGCTTCATGAAATGGTATTAAAAAATGTGCAGTAAAAACTGGATGGAAATCCTAAGGAGCCCCTGGCCTGTGCTTTGGAAACCACAGATGGAAAGGACAGTTTAAAAGTGATTGTTTATATTATTCTAGCTGCCCAACATAAGATTATACACTAAATCAATAAAAGTAAGTCATTGTTTATGATAGCTGCATGCAGGCTATTCTTTATACTGTCCTATTTTGCATAATCACAACATTATTTTACGTCAGCAGATATACCTTGTATATTATCAAAAGCTACATTAATATACAGTATGTATAGTGGGATAAATAGTGATAAAAACTAGAATGAAAATGGTTTTGAAATTGATACAGTTAGGGGCCATTCATTTTCTCTGTTTATTTAAATTAACAGTTTTTTTTCTTTGGATCTCAGCAGTTTTCTAAATACTTAAATGACTAAGACAACCACAAAAAACTGAGAATAAAAGTGAACGAGTAGAAGAGATGCATTTGGATATATCCTTAATGTCTCATTTAAAATGCCAACAGACAGACAGTACAAAACTATCTGGATTATAGCATTCTCCTCTCTCTTGACTTTCATCCTGCTAATAAGATGTGAATCTCATCTTGTCTTCTGAGGTTTCTCCTTTCCCTTTCATATTAACATGAGGGGGTTGTGGATGCAGTGGTGATTGTGATGCAGACTTTGGCTTACCCGGTAATTGCATTGAGGGGGAACATCTTGTTGATCAGCATCTAATAGACCTTATTAAAATGCTTTGCAGGGAGAGAAGGAAAAAAGATTATTTTATGTGATAGGAAAAGAACTTGAGGGTAGGGGGGCTTTCACACCAAAATGATTGCGGATGACTTGGAACAATGGAGTAGTCAGTCATTGAAATATTACCTACATTTTTGTTGTGTAACCTGTAAAAAAGTACTTTAATGAATTAAGTCTAAAGTTGTAGAATGTGGTTAGATTATACAGTATGTGGCCGACAGACTGCACAGGAAATCATATAAATTACACCTATGCGAATCACACACTGTCTGACAATATAAACAGCACTGGGTTGAATTCCTCTGGCATTCCTCTGCTAATAATTTCACTTTGGCTAGGATACTTGTACCTGTAATAAAAACCAGTAGATCTTTATCACTTGTATAGGTTTAATTCTTAGCTGCATAATAAGTGTTTTTCAGGAATTTTCAACAAAACCTGAGAAGAGAATTTTTATGACAGTGTGACACTATTCATCTCAAATTCAAAAGAGAGCATGCAAGAGTGTCGTTTCCTAGTCGTTCCAAGTAAATAATGAAATGATGCAACATTAAGCCTATGACAGAGAAAAAAGAAAATCTATAAATACAATATTTATATATTTTAATACATATGACCTTGCAAGTACCCACTGTGAAGGACTTTGTTCCCATCCACAATTAAAACACAGGACTGGTAATTACTTGTTATATCCTTCTGACAGAGGAATACATAGCATTAATAACACTGTCTACAATAATTACATGGGCTGACCCCTCCCTCTGTCAGAAAGGGTATATTTTCATTTGTATTAGGGACAGCCTGATGCTGGAGTTTTTAATTTAATTATTTTCTCTCTTGAAGGCATATAATAGATGTCAACAGCTCATGAATTCTGGCTTTGAATCACTCTTACCCTCTAAAACATCATTTAAATGTCATTAGGTATTAAAGGCAGAATTGCAGAGATTTTGAATGGTAATTTATGCTCAGAACCGAATTAGCTGGAGGAGATATGACATTTGGATCAACTATTTCTGCTTCATTTAAGCCCACATTGCCCAAGTATTCATATTTCTGCAATACCATACTTTACTTTTGTTATCAAAATTATACATAATAAACAGATTTTTAATACACGAATTTGCTCTGGCCTCAAACTAATAAATCAAAATTCAGTTTGGCAGAAACAGACATTATTGAACTACGTAGGAACTTTCAATAGGTGCAGAGGTCAGGTTTTCACCTAAGCTCTTTTATTGTATAAAATGAAAAAAGCCTCTGGGCTGTTTTTTTCACCATAGCAACATATATCCTCAATGGTACCATACTCCATGTTGATTTGTCAGTAACTAAAGTTCATTATTCTTATTTTACCTCTGCTTTCTCCTGGTTTGCAGGTGGAAATGCTAAACTGCGCTACCAGATCACATCAGGAAACATGGGAGGGGTGTTTGATGTAGAACCAGAGGTGGGCACTATCTTTATCGCCCAGCCTCTGGACTATGAACAGAACAAAAGGTAGGGACACACTCCAAGGAAGAATACTGTTGAATGTTTTTTAAAAGACTTTATCTGAAATATGTCATGTTATAATCCCAGTTTATTTACTTATTTATTTCTTTTTCTGGCAACATAGTCTATATGCCATAGCTTTAAATTTCACTTCTGATCCTTTAAATCAACTAGACATATAGTTTAAGTGATGAAGAACACAGGTAAATATTTTCACGAAGATAATTTGAATCTAAACTGTTGTTTATTTTGTGAAACCACCTGAAAACGCTGACATTTTTGCTCAGGTACAAGCTTCATGTCCTGGCTTCAGATGGGAAGTGGGAAGATTACACCTCAGTGACAGTAAACGTGGTTAACAAGAATGACGAGGCTCCTGTGTTTACCGTTAACGAGTACTACGGCAGTGTAACAGAGGAGCTGGATGGTTCACCAGTGTTTGTGTTACAGGTACAGTCCAGTCATGATTCAGCTGTACAGTAAAATAGAACTTGAATAGATTCTTGACCTTTTGAGCCTTCACTAAAGTACAAGTCTAACCTGTTATGCATGTCAAACTAAGCAATCAAACTATCATGAGAATAAAATACTATGATTTTAGATTTACATTACTTGAAAGATTACATTTCCATTTCTTATAGTGTACATGGATCATCAGCTGGTGAGGATGTTTTTTCTTGACACATGTAGCTTTAGCCTTAGCAAGGGTGGCCAATTCCAGTCCTCCAGGGCCGCTGTCCTGCTTGTTTTCCAACTATCCCTGCCTGACCTGCTGCTGATTACCTGGCTCAGGTGGGGTGTGTTCAGCCAGTCAGAAGCTGGAAGATACCAATTCACTTTATCTTTCCTCACTCCACTTTCATCTAAGATGGTATCTTCCAGCTTCTGACTGTCTGAACACACCTGAGCCAAGTAATCAGCAGCAGGTGATTGCAACAAGGTGCAACAAACACAACGACAAGCAATCAAACACTGATAAGGCCGGTGACTGCTCATCAGAAACGTACAGCTCCAGAGCAAGGACACATGCAGCAAAGTACAGTGAGAGGACACACTACTGGAGAGAGGAGACACACTGTTAATTACATGTAATGCTGGCATATAGATGCATGGAGAGAGAGGAGAGGAGAGAAACTCAGAGCATCATGGGGGCCCCCAGCAGCCTAGGCCTATAGCAGCATAAGTAAGGGAAGGCTCAGGGTCACCTGATCCAGCCCTAACTATAAGCTTTATCAAAAAGGAACGTCTTAAGTCT